AAACAATTGTATTTCCAATTTATAGTTTGGGAGCTGTACCTGATCCTCGGGGCTTAAGGGGTTAATAACAGTGCTTCTGTCTTAGGTTATAAAGTCTTTAAATCATAATGTTATTGGTGTAAATCTGCATTCTTGCACATGCCTCTCGCTTTGCTGCTGGTTTACCAGAATGTCCCTATTTCTATTCAGTTTTATTCTACATTAAATAAATCAGGAAGAATTCAAATAAACACTAGACATAAATAACAGGAAGCATCTTTTACATTATTGGACATTTTTAAGGGATTTTATATTGATCCACAGTTGTTTACTATATCAACCTCACATTTACACACAAAGAGCTAGAAGAAGAGTCAAACAGGGTAAATCCACCTCTCTAAACACTTACACTGACATACACAAACTGACAAGAAATGTTAAATAGAGCAGGAGCGGATGTCCTGTTTTGAACTGTTGCAAAAATATAACTCAGAACACGAACAAAGCCTGGAGCTTCAGGTGAAAGCACAGTTTACTTTATAATTAGTTCCTGTCCGTGCGCACAGATTGTCCCGCCGTAAAACCAGTTTTGTTGTTTCCACTGCCTCCAACTAAACACCTACTTAACTGGTATGTTGTCTTTCATTAGTGCCATCTTGCTCTGGGTCAGCAGGTGAATAATGACAGGAATCATCTCAATTTGTGTCGTTTACAAACACTAAACCACTTTAGGATCTAGGCAGCAACAAGTAAACAGATCTTAAAGATTTAGGCAGAAAAGCATGTTTGTTCCTCACTTTTTTTAACTTTTGCTTTATTTTCTGCATCACCATGCTGTAGCTAATATCCAACGAGATTTCTATCCTTCAGATTTTAAAGTTTTAAGTACTTTTTAAGCCAGATATTTCCACAGAAACTCAGGAAGGACGATGCCCAAACCACTGAGCGATCAATGACTTAAAGGGTAATATACGGTTTAAAATGGACGATTGAAAAATAAAAGGACGGATGAACAGCCAACCTTAACCGAAGGTTTAACAAATAGATCCAGGGATGAACGGATGGAAAGTTGCCCGAATGAAAATGGAAATTTGACAGCTGGACAAGCAGGAATTTGACAAAAAAGGACGAATAAATGGAGACAAACATTTTGGTTTTCCTCATCAAAATATGAGAAAAGGAAAAATCAAACTCCAAACTAGAGGAACCAGTTTAGAAAACACTTCTTAAGCTTCTCTCCCACTGAAAATGTTGGGTTAACACGTTTTTCAAACATGGGTCGATCCGTTAACAATCGGCATTTGGCTTCCTTCCCATTGGCAAAAGAAGCTGGTCTAACCCCTCGCTGGCAAGCTGTGTAGCCTCCCCCCCCCTGCCGCTGCGTGTCTGGTGACATCATCACACAGGCTCAGCGTTGATGATGTCAGAAATCAGGAAAGTAAACAACGGAGAGCAACATGTAAGGAAGCCAGGGTGTAGTCAGTGTACTTTATTGTTTCACTCTATTATCTGTCTGAATCCGTCTCACCAGAGCTGCTCCATGTTTATGGAATGTAAACAGAGTTTTTTCGGCTTTTTAGATCAGAAGAGATTGGCGCGTTGTGTTGACATCAACGGTATCACATAAATTAGCGGCTAAACAAGTTTTTTGGCGGGTTTTTTGGCCAGTGGAAGAGGGGTATTAGTGTTACAGGTTTCTGCTTAGAACAAAGTCTGAATCCCTTAAACAGTCTCTTCCAACTGTAGTTTGTTAAATAAAAAAAAGTAAAAAGTATATATATAAATATACATGCAAAAGCCTGTGTATAATAATGTAATCAGATCTCTATGAAAACACAAACCTGTCGGGATAAGCAGGGTGGTTCCTTGGGTAACGACACACTTGTAGCACTTATCCACTTTGTCGCCAAAGAACACTTCGCTCTGATTGGGTGAGGAGCTCCACGCCTCATATAGTGCAAGGTTGGTGGGAGTGGGTTTGATCAGGTAGAAGATCTTCTCACCCTGCAGGGTTGACAAACATGTTGGAGCCGACCGTAGATTCACACACCCAGCCTTTACCCATTACCATCCCAATCAATCGATCTTAAAATACAGCTTCATTCCTACACTTACCCACAAAACATGATACCAGACTGAGGTTCCTCCAAAGTCTATGTGGAAGTCCGTGTAGCTGTCTTTAACCCCCATAAGGCAGTACTTCTGGACGAAGGGTTTTGGGAAGAACGAGTCGTCAGGCCAGTAGTTCTCCACCCAGGACATTTTCTTAGCCACATCAGGAACCTCCACCAACTCTGACATCCTTCGGGTTAATGAAAAAAAGCTAAATGTTAAAACTTTATTTTCCCATCAAGCCATTTTCAACATACAATAGAGCGGAAAACCAACATTTCTGCAGGTTAACAATGAGCAAAACAAGAGAAACTCCATTGATTTGAATTTTATTCTATGTGTCAAATTTCCTCTTTTTTAAATGCCTGAAATGTGATGCAAGTAAAAAAAAATCAGAAAGAAATTCCAATTCAAGTTTAGGACAGTTTCTTAGCCAATTTAAGAAGCTCCAGCAATTCCCAACATATTAGGAATTCATTACATGCAGATGATTTGTTAATTTTTTTCTCTATAAATTGCAACTTCTGTTTTTTACGGAAATGGATTAGGGCCACTGGAAAAAAAAAAAGTTTACTGATTTAAAAAGACTTTTTTCAAGTTAGTATTGGGAAAAAAGTCAGAATTCTGACTTTTTTCTCAGAATTC